TCTTTATCGACTGATGGCAGCTCGCCAATCGCAAAGGCTGTATAGCACAGGGAGAAAGGGGGAGTGCAGTCCCTCTCTGAATACTATCCATCCAGCACAGGTCTTTTCGTAGGTACGTATCTCCCCAAAGAGTTTCCAATTAATTATGGGAAGACACCTGTGGCACCCACCTGAATTTCCCACAGATCAATCTCTGGCACTACACAGCCAGAGAGCACAGCGCTCTGGATTGGCCGTATGATAATTCACATGCTCTTGCATGCATTCCCCCACAAGTAGAGGGCTGAGTGGGATTACATTCTATATTTACAGCCACAAAATGGGAGGGGAAGTCCGTGGGAATTTCACAGATGCTGTAACTGCTGCCTCATGTAAGCTTCTTGCTTCCAACTACTAAAATCAATGATCTCTCTGTTCTAGACTTTAAATCCAATCTAGTAGAATTAATCTTTCTGATGTTACATTTTGCTTAAACTGGGAAGAACTATACTTCTGTTTCTGGGCTTATGAATTCATACGAAACAGATATTTTATCTTCAGAAAGTTTCGCTTTTAGTTACTGAAATTTGTTAAGATTTATGTTTTCAGAACATAATCAGATGATATACAAAACAGAAATTATAAAGGAAAAAATATTTTTCAAATAGAAGATTAAAAATTTTTCATAGAAAAGAAATACAGAAATAAATACATAAAGTGTAATGTGCAGAAAATAAAATGCTCTCATTGAAACAAGTGTTTCCTTAAATTATCCATTTCATACAACATTATCCACCCTTGTTTATTTTAGGTTTTTATTCAGCAATATACACAAATTACAAATGCATACAGAGCACAAATAAGAAACATTTTGGTAATAAAAACACAGATCAATATACACAAATAACAAATGCATGCAGAGCACAAATAAGAAATAATTCTGGTAATAAAAGTACAGATCAAATAGCCTTAACAGATGAAAATGTTATTTCTGTATTTGTTAGACTATTATTAAATTTAACAACCATATAAACAGATATCAGATGAGAGTTGGAAAGGACCAGTTATTGGTTAGATTATTTGAATACAGCAAAGCACACAAGGGGTATTTGTCTTGCGGGAGGATTGCCTTCCAGCAAGACTTTCTAAAGAAAACTAGCTTAAGAAAAATCACCAGCAGTTCTGTTCGGCAGTTTTGAACTACTAGTATTCAATCATGTTACCACTGGTGGAGCAGTTTAATTATTAAAAAATATTTTGAGACATTAAATATTACTCAACAAAAAAAAATCTAGTAAAACCTGAACTGTTACATAGTTTATTAATAAATAAGTATACTTTGCCTTGCAGTTGACTAATAGTTTTCGAATTTACTAATAGAAAATTTTTAGATTTATTAAAATAGGAAGACTTTTAAGAAACATATAACATAGTCCGTTAAAGATACACATTGTTTTATGTGCAAATTAAAATCATACTTGAAGATAATTCAATTTGCTTGCTTTAGGTTTCATAAATATCCTCATTGTTTAAAATACAGTTACACATTAACATTACTACATACTTAATATTTTTGTAACTCTGACCTAATAAATTAATTTTCTGGAATTAAATACTTGAAAGAGGAACATTACTGTAACTTGATTTTTCATTTCTTTCACAATGATTCTGTGAATTTATCTGTGGCAAGGTTAAGACAATGATTTTATCATAGGAAAATCTTCAATGTAAATGATGTGTAAATAAGGGAAATCTGAGAAACTTTCATGATCTGGGATTTATACTAACAACTTCACAACTGAGGATTCTTATTAACACTCTTTGGCAAACAAAGCAGTATACCAGAAATAAAAGTAATACCACAACTAGTATTATAAAAATTTATTATCCTTAAATGTATTATTAAACAAAAATTAAATGCTATTTATATTTATAAACTAATTAAACTTTAGAAATATATTCAAGATTACTATTTAACAGGAGGGAGTTTTATACATTATACTTCACATATATAGATTTTTTTAATGCAAATAGCTTTTTTTTTTTTTTTTTTTTTTTTTTTTTTTTTAAGGAGACGGTTTGGCATTGAAATCATTTGTCAGCACTGACAGGCAATAGAGGTTGACATTATATAAGCTTGGAAAACCTTTACTCACACAGCTTAAGTCCAGCAAAACAAAGGGTAATTCAAAGTTTAGACCTCTAATTTGGAATTTGAAATGCATTTTTCTAAAATTCTAACAGAAACTAGCATAAAGATTATCTAAATGTAAAAATAATAGCAAAATTTGGAAATTTGAGAAACTTGAAAAAATCTAATATTGCACTATTTTTTAAATTCTCTAAATATGGGAATAAAAAAATGTTAAGCTTAGCTGCAGTAAAATGTTATTGTTAAGCATGATTAAACAATAAATAAATCAGTAGTGCACATTTTTATCTGCATCAGGAGTAGTGATGTTTTCCACCTTTTTTAATTGATATGCTGCTTTCTTTCTACATAAGTCATATATATGAACAGTATGAAATAAAAAGTTCTTGAATGAGACATTTGTCATAAAATGTTTTAAGTTCCATATAACAAGCAAGTTCAAAAGTTTTTTAAATTTTGAAATAAAACTGCAAACATGTAAACAAATGCTTTTCACCTAAAAAGTTCAAATTCCATTTTTAGAAGTATGTATTTTTGGAAATTTTACTAGTTTTAAGTTTGTATGTATTTTTGGAAATCTTATTAGTTTTAAGTTTAAAAAATATATAATTTTTTTTTAAACCATTTGACTGCTATGCTGCGCAAAAGTGCTGCGTTCATTTGTCTCAAAAACTGCGACTCAGTACTTGTGCCTTTGTAGCTCCGTCATCAAGTCAAAATCAAGTAAATATAATTAAAATAAAATATAAGTCAATAGACAACATCAAGTCAAAATATGTCCCGCAGTTTTCATGCGTTCTTGCAAGCCTTGCTTAGCAGTCTTAACGGTTAAATTCTATTTCCTTCAAAGATCAATCAACTCACCAATCTTTAGTGTCTATAAAATGTACAATAACCTATACTTGTATAATGATTAATAAAAAGAAAAGGATTCCAAAAATCATCATTATAAATCACTACCTTGTTAATAAAACATAAATGAAAATGTTATTTAAATAGCCACCAAATTATATACAAATGAAATAGCCACCAAAATGTTTCAAAAAGGAGGTTTTATTTGCTTCGCAATAAAAAACAAAAAAAAGGTGTCATTCATGAAAAGGAAGAAAGACTGTGTGTTCCATTCAGTTTTAGTAAGTTACCTGAGAATATTTGTTTTTCACTGATAGATCAGTTAAAATGTGCAAGATGACAGTGTGCTATAGTGAGGCTACATTCTTAAAATTTACACACCTTTAGATCTGACCATTGTTACATATTTTTCTGTAGATTTGTTAAAAAAGCAATGTATCTGTTCACTCTGTAGATAATTGCTATGACAGCACATCTTGTAATTGCAGAGCAGATAGAGTATAAATCACATGAAACTGATTATTGCTTTGATACACCATAATCTATGGAAAATGCACAAAATGTCTGTCACAGCAAATTTTTATCTTTTCCCTATCAGTTAACACAGCACTTCTCCCCCCCCCAAAGAAATAATTTTTGCAAGCAAGTAAAATCTGCTCTTTAAAGAAAGTATGCTCTGAAAACTTCAACATTTTAGCCACAAATATTCACTTTACCACAAATAAACAACTATAATCACAATTCTTTTACCGTTTTTCCCCACATAGTTAAAAACCTTTTTTTTTTATATGTGAATAAGAAGAATATTTTCAGTAACCTATTTTTTAATCAGCAGAAAAAACTATAATACTTTCTTACTTGTCTAGTAGTTTTTAATATATAAAATGAAAATACCAAATTTTAAGGCAAATGCAAATTTTTGTTCACATGCCAATCCCAGCCTGTATTTGAATTAATATGTTAACCAGAATTAAAAACATTCGTGATCTGACGCTGAAAATTAGTTTAATATTTTAAACCAACTTCTCTACAGATATTATAAATAAATAATAATCTTTATACATATTTTCATATTATTAATTTAAAATCAAGTTGAACTAATTTAAATTTAATAAGCATGTTAAAAATGTTAAAATGCCTTGAGAGCATCCTGCAGTTTCTTACAAACAAAAATGTTCATCAACAAATTTTACATGAACTTAATTGGAAACTCACATAAAAATATTAATTAGTGGAGTCATTATTACATATTATGGTTTAAAATTAAATAATAATATTTTACTCGAAAAATGAAAATGTGATTTGTTTAATTCAGGTATAAAAACAATATTTCTGAGAAAAGATTTTGAGAATAGGGTGTAGGAATTTCTTTTAAAAATTTTTTTATTTAAATTTAAATTTTATTTCCAATTTATGTTACTCAAATAATCAAGTGTGTTCAGAATGCTTAACTGTTTTAAATAATACTCCCCTCGATGAGTTTGATGTATTAAAATATGAATAATTAATATGCAGATTATCATAAGTTTTTTTAATATAAATTTTATTGCTTATTGTAAAGAAATCTTTGATCTTAAGCTATTTAAGCACTTGATTTTATTATTTTATGTGCTTAGTTTTATTACTTTCTAGAAATATATAAACCTAATTGTTTATCAAATACATAAAATTTACACAGAGATATTTATTTTTAATGAAAAGAATCAATAACTAAATTTTCATTAAAATACTTTTATATTTTAGAATATTTAGAAAATGAATACTTTTAATTTACGTAATTAGTAACCAAATAAAATAATTTGCCCAACCTTATGATTTCATGCATACAATAACTTATATATTAATATAAGTATATATCAAATATTATGGTAGTTCTTGCATTATTTCACTCACATCACTCCTCTTGTAAGAAACAAAATATAAAATAAATAAAAGATCTGACATGTTTTCTGCCAAGATGTTATACAAATATAGACAGCTTTATTTTTAATGTAACTAAAATAAAATGTAACATTACCACATTTTGTAGCATATTCAGACTGATTAGTGTCCATGCCATTTTCATAGCTTGATTCAGGGCGATTATTGTAATTTGTATATGAGCCTGAAGAATTCTCTCGACCCATGCTTAGGTAACCCATCTGTCCAAATCTGTTTGGAGGCTTGGGACTAGACAGGTCAACAGGATGACTATCAATAACATTATCAGATGGACGGTCTCGGCAAGTGGGAGAACGAGCATGGGTATTCTGAAGGCCATTGCGGTTTGCGTCACTTATTTGTACATGGCCCATTTGTTGATGATGGGTTCTGTTGCTAAGTTCTGTATATGGATTGCTATTGTTCTGAAAGGAGAAATTTTAAAAAAGCACCATCAATTTAAAGTCAAGAACACCAAATAAATAAAACACAAACTTGTTTTTAAATGTGCAAAATTAAATTTGAATTCATATTTAAATATTTTCTGATATTCTGACAGATTATAATATAGCTAATACTTTTTTTTTTTTTTTTTACAAATGCCGGGCACTTGCCTAGAATGGCATTGGCCACTACTAAGGCCAGAAGTGGTAGCCATTTTATTATGGAGGCACCTAATAGGTGGCCACACCGTTACCTCCTATGAAGGGATAGACAATTTTGCATCCATGCCTTCTCGGAGATTCGAACACGGGCCCTTTGGTATCGCAGTCAGGCTTCCCTAACCATTATACCGCTGGGCGGCTATAGTTAAGACTCTAAAAGTACAAAATGCTTGTTCCTCAAGAGGAGAAAATATAATTTAGCATAATGAGCCTTCATCCAAAGCATGATGGATTTTCAGAGCTAATACTAATTCTAATTTCGCATTGAAATTAATAGATTTCATACATATTGTTTCATAATTAATTTGATATGTAAATAAATACATACTTACAGTGTCTTTATGTAATGTTGTTTTGCTGTAGAACATTTGAATGCAGAACTTAGCAATGCAAAAATCTGGATAAAAGATGCCAAGCAATGCCAAAAGGCACCAAATGATGTTGCTGTATTAACCTTTTGATGCCAGGGCTTTGGTAGCAGTAAAAACTACCAAAGGACGGGGAATCTTGAACCGAATGCTTTCCCCCCTTTAAGAAATCACCTCCGACTTGCAACAAAGATTCTTGTGTGTAGTTTAATGGATTCTCAGAGGGGTGCATCTATGTCGCAAAAGGAAGACCTTTGAAAGAGATAAGTGGTTAAAACCCTAGGGACGTCAAACTTGACATTTCACCCCCACTTTTCAGCCTGGAAAATGGGGGAAAAAGACATGGTCACTAAAGTGGACAACCCCGTCTTTTCAAAGAGAGGACTCTATGGCCACTATAATGGCCATCCCGTCTTCTAAAGGTTAACATGTCTACTAACATATTCCTCTAGCACAAGGTTCACAAAAGTTTTCAGCACAAAGTTCTACAAATTCTTCTTTCCACTTCCTCAAGCTGCTCTAAATTTTAAAATGTATTTGGGAGCTCTGACTGATAAAACAGTAATACAGGAGAGCTTTGAGTAAATGGGGATATCTTAATATTCTTGACGGTTCTGAAGATCCTTCCACACGGAAAGACAGACTGAAATAGTAAAGAAGACAACAGCAATGATGATGAGGATTTGTAATCCATTAGTAGACAACACAAACAGCAGTTCCAGCAGTGTTAAATGATCTGAGGCCTAGGGAGTAGCAATACAAGATAGAGTGAAATAGAAATGAAAGATATCTAATTAAATATTGTAATGTTGATATTACTACGTACTTTTATTGAAATGTAGGTTCTATTAATGAAATAATATTATGATAGCTACCAGTAGTTTATCCATGAATATTTTGATTTGTTATGTTCTTACTACAGCTGCATCTTTCGAAATTAAAATAGTTGCAGAAATTATCCCCTCTTGCTTTTCGTAGGTTAAAATAGTATAAAATAGGGAGGAAAATATGCCAGCAAATACAGTATTTTTATGAAGACAGTCTTTGTTCACTTTTTATAAAAAGAAACTGCTGTGAAGATTTTAAGTATCTATATTCCCAATTTAGTAAAAAATGCTGAATGGTGATTCCAAATACTTCAATCAACTGAACTGTATGGTCATATACTGTTGCATTCGTGGATTTGGAGTAATTGATGATAACACTTGATGAAGAGCTAAAACACAATTTATTCGCCAGTATTTACACAGGAGAGTTCTAAAGACGCGTTCACAGTCGTCGATGAACTCGGTGAAACAATCAGCAACACAGCCTTCAGGCTGCAACGGTAAAGACAGCTTCACGGCAAAGCACTAAAGTACAGCTTGAGACTTGGTTCACTAGCTCTCAAGCTTATCTCTAAACTCAAAACACGACTACGGAACTCAACATACTACTCAAGATACCCCACACAATACACTACCCCATGTACAGGCAAAGTATATATAGCTTTTGACCTGCCTTTCAGAACATTCACAGGAAAACCAGTAAGAATTTGTTCCAGAATGTTCTAGCTCTGTCAATGGCATATTGCCAATTCTGTTGCCAAATGGGTGGTTTTGTGCAAAATCTGGCCACCGTACGCCTGCTTTATGGAAAAGCTATCTTACCGCAGCTGGGCATTTCGTAACAGCACTGTAATTTTTTTATGTGAAATGGAATTGGTATAAACTGCAGTAACACAACACATAAGTAGTTCATTCTACAGTTTATGTAATTACATATATTGGAACATCAGATGCAAAATTTGCCTGCTTGCGTCCCTCTATTCCCAAGTCAAGGCATCCAGTTGTATGGCCATACCTCTTCTTACACTCCCACAAAGATTAACAGCAGACTAAAAATAATCATGGTAACAATTATAAAGACTAAGCTGAGGGGCACAGTTTGCCAAATGGTTAAAATTCATAGAGTCTTTAATGGGCATGTAAGACAGTAAAGAAAATTCAGAGCAGGTTATTTTGAGAGATCTCCAACAGAGAATCTAAATTTAATGGTAATAAAAGGCTTAAAAGTGGCACATTTGGATGGAAGCAGACAGCAAGACATTCTAAATCATTAGTGCAGAATCCTTATCATGCTGGACTTTGAAAAATTTATTTACTTATGTAACTTAACAAACTGCACATTGCTTGCTTATAACAACACCTAATATAAAACTACATGCTGCTTAATTAATGCATTTTCAAGAAGCAGAAATTTATTTCTATCACGAACTTTTCTTCAAACCGTAAAATTTTACATATTTCAGCTCTCCTTATCATTTTGTAAGTACTACTGCTACTGCCTTGTTGTTTATGAGTAAATTAACTATGAACAAAAATAGTTATATTGTTTCTTTGGAAAAAAAACTACAACTTCCCATTTTAAGGATTTGCAACACACCTGTCAGCGAATCTCATAATAACAGTGATGCAAAGAAATTTGAGTGCAACAGTGCTGTCACTTAGGTGTAGTTTTCTTTGAAGTACTAGAAAACTACAACTAAAGTAATGTATCCAAGAAAAAACCTTTTTTCTTTTTGGGGGAAGGCATAACAAAGCATTATGTACGAATACAGTAGAACTTCATTTCATTAGAGAAATATTTCTCATTCAATCAATTCAACTTCTCACTTCGGAGCAAAGCAAAAATACATAAAAAATCAAAACATCTTCATAGAAAGCAAAAGTTTAATATGTAAACAAATGGTGGCTTAATTAGGCTTGAAGCACTTAAGCAACATTTAAATTGTAGATAATTCAACAAGCATTGCATAAAAATTAACTTCATAAAAACCTTAACTGGAAAATAAGAACATCATTCAGTCACTTTTAAAGCAAAAAATGCACAACTTACAAACATATAAGAATAAAAAAACTGAGCTCATCAAGACAGAGTGGGCGTGTGTATATATATACAAACAAAAGTCTCTCTCTCCATATATATATATATATTTGACGCAGTCAATAAGCTACTCATTCTTGAGTTATACGAGATGAGATACGTACGTACCTATGTACAGACATCACAAAAAAAATCTACAAACATAAACACTAAAAAAACTGAGCTCATTGAATGGGTAGACTTTTTACGCAGCCGATAAGATACTCATTTTTGAGTTATGCGACATACGTACGTACGTATGTACAGACTCGCAAAAAAAAAAGTCTCTCCTGAATCCATTTTAAGAAAAGTCTTTTATTTTCTCTATATGTACAGATGTTATGCAAAAAAAAAAAATTTTTTTTCAAATGGATTTGAGAGCGGTCAAATTGGATATTTTCATTGAAATTTTTCATGATTATACTATTTCCTTTTACTCCATACAAGGAAGTAAACAATTCTTATACTTTTTGCAAAGAATAAAGGTTTCGTATGTTATCTTTCCTACTTTCATAGTAGTATTTTCTGTTGGTTCAGAAAAATTTTCAGTAGCAATTTTATTTAAATCTTAATTTTCTTTTTCTGTACAAGTTTAATTTATTTTAATTTTGGAGACTTTTTTCCACACAAATTTTGCCCAAAATATGAAATATTTATCAGCAAAAGTTTGCAACTGATCAAAATGTAAACAAAATGTGCTGATAAATTGTGACAAGGAGGAGATAAATCCAATGAAAAGTATAAAGTACATACTAACCGAAGAAATCTCTACTATTCTGGCACAAAAATATATTTTTTGTAAATGTTTAAGAAATTTATGTTACAAGAAACTGCATGAAAGTTTTAAAAACAAGGCTCTTCATAAGGTCAGAGCATATAGATCTAATAACAAAAATCTCACTCCCTCGTTTAAAAACGTGTATGCTGTTCATCCTAACTGCATCGCCGTGGTGTGATGAATTAATCGGATCTTGGTCCTCGAAGGTTTGTTCAAATGAAAAGAAGTAACCAATTTCCCATCTTACAATGTACAGCTTTGTACTCTTTAACCACACACTATACATTCTGTCTTAATTCTTATACTCATATTTTTGGAAATTTTGCAGCATCTTATTATCTTACCACATAATGGGCATTTCTGAATATCAAATAAAATATTTCTTACCAAACAAAAAATTTTATCATGATAATTACTATGAAGAAAAAGTACAAAATTATTACCTGACTAGGAAGAGTGTATGATGCAGCATTTTGAGTGGCTGTGTTACTTGCACTGCTATAAGTAGCAGAAAAAGGTGCCAGAGACATATTGGTTGTCACAAAATCTTGGTCAGTACACTGTGGGTAATTTGTTTCAGGTGGAAACCCATAGTTCACCTGCAATTTATATTTCATGAAATTAAAACATAATTTAATAAAATAGTATTGATAAACTAACATTAACTCATACTTAAAGTGTTGATAATGCAGACATTAATATACACTTTAAGAAGAGCAATGAAAGCTGGGTACTCTTCTGTTGCCGGGACTGGATTCAGAAATGATTGTATGCATGCATGTACTTATGTATGTGTGCACATCTACACACATATGTGCACATCATACACATATGCATAAAAACATTTCTGAGTCCGGCCCTGATAACAGGAGAGTATCGAGAGCTGCATGTAAATATCATGATGTTCAGTAAATCGGTGACTGCGTTTATTTATAAGTTTATCTATTAAAATGAAAAACAAAAGTAAATAACACATTGCTTAATATATACAGTACAAAATCCGCAATCAAGACTCCATTATCCGGAATGATCTATAATTTGGACCTCAAAGCCACAAACTTATGCATGCGCGTAATGCATTTACGCATGTGCGTTTAATGCGCACATCCGCTACACATGCGCATAAAGCGTTTACCCACGCGTGCTTCCGATAGTGAAGAAAGTGACAGAGAGGTTATTGAAAACGAAAAAATTTCGATTGGCAAGTTAGTCAGTGTTCTCGACACAGCAATCACAGGACTTCAACAGTGGAACTTTGTAACTGAACAAGAAATTGTGTCTGTTTATAGAATTAAAGAGAAAGTATTAGCACAAAAAAAAAAAAAAAAAAAAAGAAGCAACTTCAACTTACATTGAAAGAAATTTTTACTATAGTAAACAAAAGAATATTAAGTTTTTTTTTTTTTTTTTTTTTTTTTTTGTAAATTTTGATATTGTTTAGATCATAATTGCTTTTTATTTCATAAATTATGGTGTCATATTTTTAATTGTATAATTTCTGCATGCCATCTTACCAGATTTAAATTGATGATCTATAATCCGGAAAAACCCCCAATCCGGAATCGCCAAGTCCCAACAAGTCCGGATTACGGACTTTGTACTGTACCAGGAGTTCTCAACCGGTGGTACGCAAAGAAAAATAGGTGGTACGCAAAGAAGCAAAGTATTTTTAACTATTAAATTCAAAAATGAAAACTCCAACTTGCTGATTGAGTTTTTTCTCTAACATTCGTAAATTTACGCGATCTGAACTTTGTTCAAGGGGTGGTAGTACTTTGTAGTGGTGGTACTAAAGGTTTTCAATTTTTTTTTAGATATTACGCGTTAGTCAAAAGTTTGAGTACCGCTGATATACACAAATAAAAAAAGTGCATTTTTTTTAATGAGCAGTAAATAACTTAGGCATGTATTTCCAAAAATTCCAATTAATTATCAGGGACCGGATCCAGAAATGTATGCATGTATATATGGATGTATGTGTTCATGTATAGATGTATATATATATAAGCATGAATGCATGTGTGTGTATACATATACACATGCACATATGTATGCATGTACAAACGTGCATACATTCATACATTTCTGAATCCAGTCTAAGTAACAGAACAGTAGCATAATTTTTTGTAAACAATTAAAAATTTAGCCACTACTTTCCTACTTCCTTCAGTTCATATTTTGTAATTGAGTTTTTCAGCAATTTACATAAATAAAAAAATAAAGCACTACAATACTAATGGTAGCCCTTCCTGCATTGGAAAATATGTGTTCTCCATTGCAAATATGGAGCAACATCAAAACCAATACACAATCAAACCTCAATGAGCTGAAACTGAAGAAAGGAGGAGAAAAAAGCTGGATAATCAAAATTTCAAATCAGTGACTTAATCAGCATTTGAAAAAGATTCAGCAGTTCATTACTTCGATCAATTGCAACAAAAATTGCAAGTGCTATCTATTTATTTTATCACTTGAGAAAGTTTACACAAATATACATAAAATTTGCACAAATATATTTTTAAAATAATACATAAATATATATTTATGTAGTAAGTCTACATAAATACACCACATATATTACATTAATTGTTGTGTAACCTTCCCTACCCCTAAAAAAAATGTTGAAAAAATATAAAGCTGGAAAATCAAAAACTTAACTTACATTTACTTTCAAAAAATGCTGCAAACTGTTACACAAAATCACACAATTGAATGAAGAGTTAGATCTGGGGTTACCAAAGGGATAGGTATTGAACCCTTAGGGGGGGGGGGGGATCAATGAAATTTTAAAGGTGGCCAAAGATGATCAAATAGGTAGTTTGGAGGGTCAACAACCAACTGATCATTGGCAACTGATCCACATTATTAAAATCCCACTGATTATAAAAGAAATTATTAATAAAATGGTAAATTCTTATAGATGTAAAGCTATATCATGCACAATGAAGTCTTATTCAAAACACATGGTTACACTAAGTTTTGGAATTTAAAAGTCATTCTAAAGAAATCTACTAAAATAAAAGTTGCTACTGAATCAACATTAGTTCTGCTTAACTACCTGGAAGTAGGCTTTAGCCAAGCCAATAATTTACAACTTAAAACAAGAAACCAATTGAATATTTTTAAACAAGGGGAATTTAGTCAAACAGTTTTATGCTAAATGTTTAAAAAAAAAAAAAACTGCAATTATACATCTAATGCAGAGGATCATATTAATTATAATCAAACCTTTGTGCAATTAGAACCTGCAGTTTTTTTTAACTTGTTTCTATTTGTAAAATAAAAAACAACACATATATAACATAATAAGTAAATCTAATACACCATTTTTTCCAAAACTCTAGTTCATATGCTAGTCTAATTGCTATCTTTAAGTCATTTAAGTGCAATTATTTGCATTATTATTGTGCTTTATGCTGCATACATAAAAATGTAAGGGGGTCAATGAAGGATAGGGAATCCTTCAGTTAGATATTTTAGATCTATGAACATGATAAAGGAAACTAATAAAAATTTTAATTTCCTATTTTGTAATATTGCATTTTTAAATAACATGAATAATATGTGAAAATACAAAGTTTTGAACGTGATATCCTTAAATTTCTTAAATATAATATAAAAATAGTACATTTCTAAAATAAATTATGAATTTCTATGAATTATATTTTTTAAATCTCAACAAGAGTAACAATTAAGACTTTCCACAAGGGATATTTGGGCTATGATACTTTTAGTTTGAGGATAAGACTGGACATAAAATTCATCAAAACAGAAATGCCCTTATCCCCAAAACAAAAGGATTTCACATACTCAAATTGTTCAATATTTCAACTAACTGAGGTACAGAAATTTAGCTTATTGAATATTTCAATTCATCAGAAAAATTTAAAAGTCTTCTGGTGAAAGAAATTCACAGTACTAAATATAAATAATATGATTAATAAAAAAAATCAAGTTAACTAATTATTGAAAATTTCAAGTTATTGATATCCTGAAAATAAGCTAAAAATAGCTGGGATCATTCTTTGAACTAATATAGCACAGTTCAGCTTTATAAGGCCAAATGAACAATTTTCCATCTCTGATGTTAACATAGATTTTAAGTGTATGTAGTTATATATATATATATAATGTTGTATGAACTTAAATCCATTTAGTGCGAATACAAGTTATTATTACTTGCGCAATTGCTGCAAAGTTAGTTAATAATAATTTATTTCCTAAACAGTATTGATTAATTTATTATATTATCTCCTAAGTTTAATTAAAGTAGAATTATTTTAAAAGTGTGCATCCATACTGGTAAGTTATATTTTGAAAGATGTTTTGAAGTAATTTGAAAGCAAAAAGTTAATGTTTTAACGGGGACTGGAGTTAAATCATCACGAAGAATAATATTTCAATTGTAAAAGGAAAAATTAAAACATGTAATTATTGTCATTGATCGGAAATTAGTTGACTTTTCAAGGGGAACAAACCAACTCCCTTTCAATGAACAATGATTGATAAAAATACGTAAATATGAAAGTGTTTCGTCTTTACTCGAGTTATAAGTTAAAGCCAAATCAGCAATTCTAGTCAGGCCAAATATTTCCACGAATAGTTGCTACTCAAAGAACTTATTCTCATGAAGCATCTTAGTCAATTCAATTTGGAGTAAAAATCAATTACTGTAGAGGTAGAGAAATCCGTAAAACTCGAGTAAACCGTCCCCGACACTATCATCTTTATGTATTTGAGTACTATATTATATTATAGTAGAAATTAAACATTGGAAATTGTCATTATGAAATCGAATTCAAAGTAAAGTTGAAATAAACATAGAAGATTATAAAAAAGATAAATAATGCAAACTTTGTAAAAAAAAAATCAAAGAAAAACATAAAAATAATATAGAAAATAATATAAATAAGATAGTGAATGTACATGAAGATATAAAGGCCAGAAAGGTATTAAGTAAAACTTACATCTTTCTAGTGGGGAGTTGGCAAAGTGTTCTCTTCGTGTCTGACTCAGAAGTGTAGGGTGTCCGAAAATTCTTAGCGGCTGTAGGGTCTTTGAAAAATATCAGTCGGTAAGACTTGGGTGAAGTAATTTATGTTAGTGGGTGGGACTTGGAATTCTTGAGGGATGTATTTTTGTGGAGTTCTTATCTGAGAGAGACCGTCTGTTAAGATTTTTTGAAAAATACTAGTGAATGGAAATTAATTAATTTCTGGCTAATTGTCGTGTCGCAATGATTAAGAATTTAAGAAAGGAAAAAGGCATTTTCGCTGTCCAAGAGCTAATAGACAGTCTAAAGGCAGGAAATAGGCCCATTTTTTTAGTAACAGTATATGTCTGAAGACAATTAGCTTTTTACAATATATACAATTGAGTAATTACACTATATACAAATCTTTCAACTGACAGTCATCCAACTTTGTTGTATGAGCTTAAATCCATTTAGTGCGAATACAAGTTATTAATACTTGCGCAATTGCTGCAAAGTTAGTTAATAATAATTTATTTCCTAAACAGTATTGATTAATTGATTATATTATCTCCTAAGTTTAATTAAAGTAGAATTATTTTAAAAGTGTGCATCCATACTGGTAAGTTATATTTTGAAAGATGTTTTGAAGTAATTTGAAAGCAAAATGTTAATAATGTTTTAACGGGGACTGGAGTTAAATCATCACGAAGAATAATATTTCAATTGTAAAAGGAAAAATTAAAACACATAATTATTGTCATTGATCGGAAATTAGTTGACTTTTCAAGGGGAACAAACCAACTCCCGTTCAATGAACAATAATTGAAAAATACGTAAATATGAAAGTGTTTTGTCTTTACTCGAGTTCATTTATAATCAGAATTAATTAAAATTTTAACTACACGACTAGCTCCTAATTCAACTATATCGGCTGCACACAGCAAAGCTGAGTCTAAATTATCAATACTATAATCTAAAGTAAGTGGATATCACAAATATTCAGCTACAGAGCTACTTGCAAACATGTGGCATAAACTTGTTCTCGGTGTAACCCACTCTACCTGTAAATGACCTTTTCTACAGTGAACTCTTCAATTCTGCTACTTAAATTATTACTACTGCTACTTATTTCCATACTCGTTGGAGGTGTTGCGAGGAGAATAGAAAGAGTTTTTAAACAGAAAATATTCATACGATGGCACAAATGATTTTTAAGAAAAAAAAAAAAAAAATTTTTTTTTTTTTTTTCTTTAGTACGGAAAATTAGCAGTAAAACCATTTAAATGCTTTTTCACATGAATCACAAACTGTAAAGCATAACTGACTTTTAAGCTATTACTCGTTATTTAGCCTCCTGATCTGTCAAAACAGGTTCACAAATTTTATCAAGTCCAAGAGGTCTGTCTTATCAATTGACATCTCATTGATCCCACTCCTTATCGAATTTTAACAGCTCCTTACTAATTTTAATAGACAACATCCCAAGGGATAGACCCGAAAGACTTTTACTGTATTCCCTAACCACCAACCCGTTGTGAAAACTTGTGTTATGAAAACCGTTGTAAAATCTGGTTAACAGCTACATGTTTATATGCTATATAACATGTTAACAGCTATATGCTATATGTGCAAGGCATAAATGGGTTAACATTATCATCTGCATAATCCTCCATACAGTAGCAAATACATATAAAGACGATGCAGATAACAAACAGACAACTACTTTGTGATCTTTTTCTTTGCGACTGATACTTGACAAAGAAAACATGCAACCTTACTCACAAATTTCATCCAAATTGTGTATAATTATAATAAATACATCTACAAATGCACAGGGCACATATCTCGGAAACAACAGAGAAGATCAAGACTACAGTTCTAAATACCATTAATTTTAGCTCCTTCATCTGTATCAAGCGTCAAGAGTCTGGTAAGTAACACATAACACTTCAAATCAGAAGTCTGCGATTCAAAACTTGTCATTATTTAATCCTTTAGCATTATTTCTCTTGAAGAAAAATTTAATCATGATGAATATTTTTAAGAGAATAATTTTTTAAAAAATGACAAAATACAAAAATTTAATTAAAAAAAAAATTCTAAACTTACTGTACTTTTCATAAATTTATTTACACATAATGGGTACTTTTCTGTTATTGGGACCAGATTCTGAAATGTGCGTATGTATGCATGCATGTGTGTGTGCATGTATGCATACATATTTCTGAATCTGGTCCTTATAACAGAAAAATACCGATAATAAATAAGTTTGTAGTAAAGAGAAATATTCTGTTCTTTCATGAGGAATAAATACTCATAATTATGTTTTATGAGGTATTTAGAAAGTTATTATTTTTATGAACAATATTATCATATTAATGGTTTTATGAAGACTAAATATCACAAAAGTATTTAAAGCATGAATTACTGGAATTTAGAAAATTGAATGAATAACAATTTATCAAAAACTAAATACTATTCATAAAAAAAAAAGCTAAAATGAACATAATTTAGCATGCTCTGTACATAGACATTTATATCTAAACATTTGCATTGCAGTTATTAAATTTATAAACTTTCATAATATTCAAATGGCTAAATTATGGATTGCACATATCAAGTTTTCAAAACTGAATCAATACAGCATTCTAAGATTTGAGTTATTGATTATTTAGATAATTGTCGATTCAATTATTTATCTCTTCCATTTTCCATCTAACATCAGTTACAAAGCAAAATTATTTGAACATTTAATCTGTAGCAATTAAGTACAAATTATAAAATGCTAAACATTATACAAAATAATGCTGTATAAAATAAGGATAATCATGTTTCACAAATAATTATATCATCCATGACTGAGGGTTTCAGTGTCCCAACAGAACAAATTTACTAAAATCAACATATATCTATAGCATGCTCCTTTCCTGTAACAAATTTTATGAAATGAAAAGTAAATGGTTTTTTACTATCTCTACTGTCACTGCTACTCAAAATTACACCTACGCTTCTTTTTCATGACAAAAAATCATCCTGACACTTACTAAAATTAACATATTTAGATAAGTGTTGCAAGAATCTTTACACTTAATCATATTTAATTCTTCAAATGCATTTTTAAAAATTAAAATGGTAGTGGACAAGCTCCAATTTACCATAATTACATATTGATTTAATCAAATATGCATAGACATACATTTAAAAGACCTGATAGTGTTTAAATTCGGTTTAGATCTGCATTAAAATTGCGATAAGAAGAAATTGCTGAATAGGCATTACATCTTTTAATGTCGTCTGATTGATAGTGTCATTTGTTAAATGATACAAACAGTTTTTTTTTTTTGCTTACGTAATCTAAATTAATTTAGCTAAGAAATCTAAAAATCTATACAAAATGTTGATGCAGATTAAACTCTGATGCACTGTTCACACAATGCAAACGGAATTCAATTCCACATAAAAGTTAGAGCATTTTGAAACGATAACCATTTAAATCTTAACTACTTCTAGAAAACACTGAAAACATACCAACCTCTTGCATATAAATCTCATTCATAACTCAGGACGAACTTGACAGAAAGTAAACACAACAAGTATTCATAACTACCAGAACTATACAATCCCACAACAAACTTTCTGAAATCAAACAAAACTTCTCAAAGTGCGATAGCGATTCTACACAAGACATTCAATCGATACAACTTCCAGCGGGAAAGAAAAAGCGGTTTAACATCCATTCTCCGTAAGTTCACTTTCGTAAATGAAGAAGGAAAACTGTCGATTTAAAAAACAAAATTGACGGAGAGACGAAGTTCTAACCGGCAGCTAACTGTTTCGTTCATCGAATGGAAATGTGGCCTTAGGCCAAAGCTTCCGTGGGAACCGCCACCGGCCAACAAGAACGTGAGAACAATAGCCACTCAGGGGATTCTGACCCCTCTCCCGACCCCGCCTTTTAACTGCTATCATATCATGCGGGGCTTTTCGTGTCCTGCGGATGTTATTTTAAACGGTGTTTGGGAACTGCGCTCTTCAAAAGTTCTGAATTTCATTAATTTCATTCTGAGATTTCAAAAATAAATAAATTAATAAACAGCATAATAAATCATTTATCGCAAATGTTTCCGAAATTGACAGTCAAATTTACCTGTTTTAATATCATTATAGATAATGCTAACGGATAAAAATTTTAAATACTTATAAAAATTTGCAATTGTTGAATATTTGCAAAAAGCTAAATTTCTTCTAAAATTTATTTATACGTAAAACTACAAATTAGTATATTGGCTTAAATACGTAATATTTTTATCACCTGCTTGTGAGCTTCAAGCTGACATTTTTTCTCATCCTCTAAACAAAAAAGGCTTATTTTATTTATAATTTATACATGTATATATTTATTTATATATATATATATTTATTTTATAGAACATTGATATAAACTGATTTTAGAAATCTTAAATTTTTTTACACGTTCATAAAAATCACATTTGGCATCAAAACTAAAATTAAATTTTAATTTATTTTTTTTTTTTTTTTTTTTTAATTTTTTATTATTGTTACAAAAATTTAGAACCAGACCACGTATTTAAAATACAAATAATATATATATAAAATAACCTCATTTTTAAACTGACATGTTAGTTAAAACTATAGATAACAGAAGGTAAAAGGCGTTTTTAAATATATAAACAGCTGAATTGCTAGTGGTTACTACTAACAAAATAAAGGCCGAAATGTGAGAATTATCTATTTTAAAGCATCATTTACCAAGAAGCAGCTGTAAAATTAAACCATTAATTTTAAATGAATAATTAATTCTATTTGATTCTATTTCTACCACTGAGCGAGTGGTTAATTAGTGCGGGGCAGAAAAAGGGAGGCGAGAAAACTGGAGGTTCGTTTGGACTCGTTTCTCGGGGGCTGGATGTCCCCCCCCCCTCGCTACAAGAACATCGCGGAGGCCAAAGAGAATACGGGTGCATACTACTTTTGCAAATTCATTGTTATTCTTGAGAGAGTTAAGTAAGTACAGGCTTCGGACGACTTTAGAACGGCAGGAGGCCGATGTTAAGACAGATCTGTTAAGACAGCCTGATGTATAACCAGGCTATTTACCAGAAAATGGCTAATTGGACGGCATACGTATGCGAGAAAATGGCTAACGTATGCCGTACAATTAGCCATTTTCTGGTAAATAGCCCTTTGGGAAGGCTGGTTTTCGATTAGGCAATCGCGAACTCTCTCATTATTAATTAACTTATTCCATAGTAAGTACATGAGTATATGATAGTAAAAGTACATGAGTTTATAAATAAAACAGTAGTCTTACTTTTAAGACTTTTTTAACACTTCGAAGCAAAAGCTGCGGAACATAAAATTCTAAGGGTAGTTCCAGTTGGCATTTCCTTTGCAGATAGGAATACTCATACACTTTGTATGAATATACTTTTTAATATAGATTAAACTAATTAAAACATTAATCGTAGTTATTAAGATGATTTAATTAACATTTAGCATACTGCTAACAATCATTAAAGTTTAAATAGACTAATTAATTTAATGCTTTTAATAATGTGTTGAATACATAATATTATTTTATTACGAATTAAAACGAAGCATTTTCTTTTTTGCAATTTTTTTCCTGAAAAGTGTGTTGTATGCATACAGCGTTTCTTCTGGAAAACACACATTAAAAATTGAAATCCACCTCTACTCCTTCCCTAAAAGTCTTTTTATGTTGAAATCGATAGCCCGCCAGCGACCAAGCGATAAAATCGTCGAACACTGTTAGTTCCGTCCCAGGCTCGATTCCCGCGAACGAGCTGACTGCATGGGCGCTTTCGTGGTTTTCCGGGTATGCAACGTGCATACGAGCCAGTTTACCCCAGAAAGTCCTCCACGAAGGCATCCCACCCTAGCGTGTCGTACCTAAAGGCGGAGCACGTAAATAAAATAATATTTAATTTGATGAAAGATATCCGGATTTGTTACGAATATCTTCACCTGTAAAAACCGTCAGTGCTTGAAAATGTATTTTTTTTTTTCCATGTTTATTCACAAAGTTTATACGAACTATTAAAATACAAAAATACTAACTCAGTATTTAAAAACACCGGGAGAGATCAAAATGTTTAATTCAATTATTCTCTGCTTTAATTTCTTCAAATATAATGCAGGACTCTAGAATTTGGTGGCAACAGTTTAAAAAGTGTAACAGACATTTATAGTGAGTGATTCAACGCAAAATCGCAAAACGAAAACAATAGTCCTTCAGGGACAAAGCCCCTTGTAACTAAAAGAAAAAGGGCGACAGTTCTATATCTCCCGTTCTATTAGGCCGATTGACGAAATTCAAATTGCGTTTTCTATGTCTCGAAAGCGACATAGAAAACGCAATTAGGATTATATATTAGGCTTATATATAGCATTGTTCTAACATAGGTATTTTAACACAAAGTTGGACTTTTTCTGAAATGACATTCCAATTTTTTTCCATATTTCGATTCTACAACTCAAATTATGCCAAATTGCCAAGTTTTGCTAAAATCGTACGAGTGATTTTTAAAAAATCAGCTCTGAAAATTTTCGCTTCTCAATGTTAATTGATTTTGATATATATTTATTAATATATCCTTTTTTTATAAATTATTTAATCTTCGTTAAACATTTTGAAATTAGGTTCATTCCAAAAAATTCACCTATTTTTGTGATTTATTTTAAATTGTATTTTTAAATAATTTTTAAATTTTGAAAAACATTTGAACTATAACCTATAAAAGTTTTGCCATCATGTTTAAAGTAGATAATTTTTAAGCATACCTGAAAAAAAAAATAAGAATTTTTTATTTAAAATTTTCTCACATATATGTGAACTTATATTTTGCCGCGTTTTGAAATTTTCCGTATTTATTATAAGCGATGATAACTAAAATATGGTTTAAGCACTTGTGTAAAAAATAATTTGAAAGTAAGAACGATGATTTCTTTTCGCTCGTGGACAATGTGTGTGTGTATTGAGAATACGGCAAAGCACACTAAGGGGAGGGATGCCTTCGTGGAGGACTTTCTAAGGAAAACTGGCTCGTATACACGTTACACATGGAGAAAAGCAAGAAAACGCCCATGCAGCCAGCCCGTTCGCGGGATTCGAACCTCGGACCGAACTGTTCAGCGATTTTAGCGTGGACAATGAAGAAAAAGGAAAAGAAAATTGCTTGTAATAAATTAAGAAGTTCGCCAAGTGAATTATTCTTGGTGCAAATTGAAAAAAAAAGCCAAGAGATAAATTTTAAAATTTCTCCGTAAAATTTCTCACCAAAAATTACAAAAATATATAGGCATAATTTGAGTCGTAGAATCGAAATATGGGTAAAAATTGGTATGTGTCATTTCAGAAAAAGTCCAACTTTGTGTTAAAATACCTATGTTAGAACAATGCTATATATAAGCCTCATATATAATCCTAAGTCGCGCTGAGACATAGAAAACGCAATTTGAATTTCGTCAATCGGCCTAATAGAACGGGAGATAATAGAACTGTCCCTTCCACCCCCCTGCAGTGTACTTATGAAAAAAAGGTATGTCTCATATTTTCATTATACAAGAACATTCAAATACTTCATAGAGCATACCTACACGGAATTAATATTTACCGTTATTTGCACTTAAGCATTCTTTTTAATATCCGCCGACCTGTGCACGGGAGGTAATGTTGAAGGTCCAGAAATTCAATAGCGAGTTTTCAATGAATAAGCCCGTATCACGATCCTCGCAATATGGTTTTCAACGTATGTTTACAATGATGCTTGTCTGCCTGTGCGTGTGTAATGATTTATTCATCCACGATAACTTTTATATAAAACTTCTGAACTTTTTTGCTTTCCGTATTTAAGCCGTACATTCCGTACATTCATATAAAGCGTTGATTAGATTTTGGGGTAAATCTGGATAATCGGAAGTGGTACTACGGACAACCGGAAGTGGTATTTTACTTGAAGACCATGATAGCTTTTAATGAAACACTATATTAAAATATAATCCAAAACTTTTCCATTTTAGTTTTCAAGGATTTTATATCAGTGGAAACAACATATTAGATTTTTGTCTAGGAATTGATAAACCGAAAGTGATACTTCACGTTCGTCTCTGAACAGTCATATATATATATATATATATATATATTGTTGCGTTTTTCTCTTCCTTCACGTTCGTACGGGGTTCGCGTGGATTTGGAGTGAATAACGACGACACTTGATAAAGTATCGAAACACACTATAGCCAATATTAATCAAAACAGCTCCAACAACACTTTTTACAGTCTACTACAACAACACTTTTTACAGTCTACGTCGAAGATCTACTATAAACACGCTGGAACAATCAGCGACACAGCCTTCAGGTTATCAGGTTATCACGGTGGAGACAGCTAAGTGGATTATGAACCTGCAAAGCACCCGACTCTTCTTTCCGGAGTACAGCTGCCGACTCTGCTCTGTCGTTCTCGGAACTCCACGTACTCTCGAGACTCTCCACGCTACAACTCGCGACGCACTCGACGACAGACGAGCACAGCTCCTGACTCTTCGGTTCAGTCGTTCCCGGAGCTCAACACGTTCTCTCGACGATGCACTAACCGCGATACACTAACAGACTCCTTCTCTGCACTCGACGACCCACTCGGCACTCGCTGCCCGGCTGTCAACTCGATCGACTCCGCAGGGATTGACTCGCTAAACGGGACACCAACTCGATGCTAACTAACTCGCACTCTAGACGAGGCACACACACACTCGATGAGAGACACATACTAACTGACTGCGGACCAGCAGGGTTTATATAGCTTTTGGCTTGTGTTCGAGAACATTCTGCGCTAAACCGATAAGAATTC